ACCCTGAACCCTAACCCTAAACCGTGCAATGCGGGCTCGTCCTTGCTAAGTAGGAGGCAAAAAAAAAACCTAAACCGTAAACCCTGAACCCTAGCCCTGTACTCTGGTCTCAACTTCTGACCAGTATCGCTACAGACCTTGCCAGTTTTTCTCCGAGCGTGAGCGTCAAAAAAACCTTAGCCCTGCAGATCATACTAGAACCTTGGGGACCAAATGACCCTTATAAGTAGGGGCCCTATACCCTTATACTATGACTCCCTACATGGTATATGAACCTGAAGCCCTTTTGAGGTTCATTTCGTCCTTAAGGAAAGAGCCCGGACCTGTAGTCCGGCTTCGAAACATCTCGGCGTCCCCCCCCTTTCCCCCTCTCCCCGGCTGCCTTTGGAGGAGCCTGGGAAAGAGCAGCGTAGGGAAGGGTAGTATAGGGGTCTAAATAATTAGCTATACTAGTTTAGGGGTTCCAAGTATAATTGTAGCTCAGCCTATTCTCATTATTAAAGCCCCTACATTAGATTCTTTGGCATTTTAAGTTCGCCATCCCGGGGTCGCTCATTCGGGCTCGTTGCTTAGCAAGGCAATGAGCGTCGCCGATCTCCGTGGCATGGTCGACTGCAGCATATCCGACACGGGTGCAATCTTGAACTTTTCGTCGCAGGCCGCTTGTGTTCCTGTTTCGATTCTCTTGGCGTGGTTGAGCTTATGTTCACAAGATGGTCCAGACGCGGGACAGAGAGTTGCTGTAGATGTTGATTAAACGAGACAGCCCAACAACAAAAGAAGCAATCATTTTGAAGCCCTGGGTCCATGGTGTCGGCATGCGGTTTTCCATACGATGTTGATGGAGCCACTTTTCGGGGCTGTACATCTTCGAACCCACCAATCCAACAACCCAGCGAGTGAACAGTGGGCCTTTCCGCTCGAGATGCCGGGCTTGCTTGCCCCCACCCCCGGAGGATCTAGAAAGTAGAACCCCTAATTTGGGAGCCTATACTACTAAAGGGTCTTTACAGGAGCCCCCCGTGAAGGCTTCTACTTTTTGGATCCTCCCTGGGGTCTGGGTGTGCGTGTGCCCATGAAGTCCTTGCCACTCCGATTTCAGGTGGAGCTCCTGAAGATGATTTTCAGAGTTGTCTTTGAAGAGGCTCGTTGGGTCTGTTTCGGATAGAGTTGTTACCGAGGTGTGAGTCATGTGTGTTTGGGGTGGTCACAAGCAGTGAATACGCGTAGGACCCAGGGCCCAGCATGCCTTGGCAGCTGCGTTGTTTGGAAACTTGCGACCTCGAATTACGGCATCTCTGCTTGGAGGAGACTGAGATTCGGCTTGGTCTTTTTTCCTGATATGCCGATGTTTTCTGGGTGGGAGACCAAGGAATGCAAGCGCTGTCCATGAGAGGGTGACCTGTTTTTGAGAAGGGTCCAGGCACGGGAATCTCGTAAAGTCTTCCGTCTCATGGAGCCACTGGCCACATATAGTGCACATGCTTGTGACTATGTCTGCTTCCAACATGAGAATCAGAGTCGTCGAGCCACATATTTTTATCCTTGCATCCCCAGACTGGAGAAGAAGCCGGAAGGTTTCAAACGCTCACCTGAAGTTGTCCAGTCTTCGTCTTGAGAGTCTAACCAACGTATTTAATGTATTTCAATATTGCACTGGCTTTCGATACTATATTTTCAACTATATTATACTGTACCATGACCATCAACGTCATCATATTAGTAGTACCACTGATTACTAGTTATAGTCACTAAGTGGCATGGATGGAATAGTCACTATAAAGATGTACTATTTCCTGTTATACGATACTGCACGATACGTGCCGACACAACACCGGATCCTTGTTTCCCTCTATACTCCATACTATGTACGGTATACGATATGGTATATTACACTATACATATATGTATGTATATATATATATGTATATACATATATATATATATATACTACATGCTCAAACAGCGCACTATAGCAACATGCGCACCGTATAGCATAATATCAGATCTCACAGTATACGATAAAGCAATCCTACCACAATCAAAGACATTCTAACATATGTAGGTTAACATATTGTAGGTTAACACAATACAGTATAAATAGTTCAAGAATAATGTCATGTAATGTAATGCACTGTAACCAAAGCCCTTGTGCTTTTCCGGGCCAGGAGCTCGCGGCGGCCAAGAACCTCTGGACAGCAGGGCTCAGCCGCGACGGTCTTCGGAAGGCAAGACTGCGACGGCATGTTTGACAGTTTCTTGGACCTGGACCTAGAGGTATCTGTTCAAGGATCCTTCTACTCAGGGTTCTATAGGGGCGTTGCCTACTCATGAACTCCCATTTGGGATTGAAAGACAGGCGCAATATGGCACGTGCCATCATTTGTACCATGGCGACTGCAAGTACCAACAGCAACGTTTTGCATGGCACTTTTCTATATTTCTTCGTACTGTTCTTCTTCCTCACCTGCACTGATTGCATCGTCAGCACCGCGCCGTTTTCTGCATCGCAGCCGCCAGCAGCAACATTAGCTGCTACACATCCATCCGCAGCAACAGCATTTCGCAGATCATCAACCTGATGTCTGTCATCTTCATCCGCATACCTCTTTTCTCTCGTCCTTGTCGCCCTCAAGATCGCCCATCCGTTTTCACCTGTCAAGATGTGTTCATGTGATGCAAAATGTGAATAACCTGCGGGTATCCTGCAATAGATGTATGGGGGCCGTCAGGCTGCAAAAGCTGACACAGAGGTAATGGTGTTGCTGTTATGACGTTTGCGGTTGCTTCGGAATCATGGCGCAGATTTGAAAGCGCAGAGGGGCTCAGGATTCTAGCTACGATTCTGGAGCATGCTGCCACGTAGAATCCAAGCGCTATTCAGGCTGTGAAACAAGGGCTTGGAAGCCAGCGACGCCATGGATCATGGAAGTTGCATTTGTCAGTAAAGCCTCGTTGACGACTCTGCCGCCTCGTTTAAAGCTTCGGTTTGGTTTCCCGGCAGGCGGCGCGTGCATTTCCTTCTCAAGGATCGCTGGCTGAGGACAGCAAAAAGGGCCTCTTGAGCTCATTGTGGCTTTCGAGTACTTAATCAAGGAATAGAGGCCTGCACAGAAACCCTGAACCGTGGTTCTTAAGTCCTACATGGTCATTAGTCATTCAGACCTCGTCGTTTGTTGGGGTTGCTTTTTGTTGTCTAGACTTCGGGGGTTAATGTTGGGAGCCGGGTCGGGAACCTTTGCGATCTTGGGGGTATGTGCCCTTGTAAACCCTATTAAACCCTCAGCCCTGTAACCTTGGACTCGGGCAGTCTGCAACCAGGCTACAGTGTTATAGGGACGAAGATGTTGGGTATCAGCACGGCTCATGATCGTGCGCTAAGCTTGGCTCTAAAGCCCCCAAGTCCCGAATCCTTAAACCTGCACTCAAAACATCCTCAACCCCCCGTGAAACCCCTAAGCTCTAAACAGGGATTGTGATTCTTCGACAGTGTGAGGTCAAGTGAACGTGCCTGCCTCGCTTTGGCGGAACAGCTTCGTCGTGCCAGAAACCTCGATCTGCTTGTGGCAGTTGTGAGTGCGTAAACCTGCGAGCCCCTTAAACCTTAACACCAAAATTTTCTAAATCCTCAACTCCCAAACCTCCCAACCCCGTGAACCCTAAAAGCCGTGATTCCGTGAGATGGCGGGAGGACCCAGAACTGGAAGAGTCGCTTTTGGGCGTGATACGGGCAAACATTGCATTGCAGGAAACCTGCCGGTGGGTTTTTTGCGGGCCTAGTGGAAGTTTTCTGGGTTTAGGGTTCAGGGTGTAGGGTTTTCCTAGCTAGTTCTCGGAAAAACGGGCTAGATAATGCCGAAGGCAGGCTAGGAACCAGAGAGGCCTAAGCTGACTGTGGGAGGTCAAGTCCAAACACCAATAGGCTACGGTTACAGGCTCGTATTTCTGTATTAATCCAGGTATGCCAAGGCACCTCTGAAAGCTGTAGCGGCTTGAAGCTGGACCAGTGTTGCAAATTTATAGATTCTGTTTTCTGAGTATGATGGAACCTGATCCATTAACTGCTTTGCATGCAGAAGAGAAGAGCATGTGTGCGGCATGGCTGGACGAGGAATGTGCAAAGTTGTCCTGGATATGAGTATGAGAAGTTGCTGAATGACTGCTTTCTTCCAGGTCAAAGTCAGGTTTCATGCACAGGGCGGTGGTCTAGCAAATGATGCCGCATGTAAGCTCTGCATGTGTCTGGTCTTAATACTTAGTGAGGGTTGCTAGTTGATTTCCCTTAGCCGTTATATCTGAACGAGAAGCAGAGCATCATGCATATGGTTGGGTCTACACTCTACATGGATGCAGCTCGTTGAAAGTCCGATACTCCGCCCGTTGACCTTGACCTGGTGATTTTGGGAGTGACGAAGGAGAGAGGGGGATAGAGAGAACGGTCTCAGACACACACACACACACACACAGAGAAAAAACACATACGGACCAAGCTGAGATTCGATCGGTTGGTGTGCCAGGAGAAGAACGCGCAAAATCGCTTCAGCATGAGGCCCACCAATGCCAAGCGGGTGCTGGCAACAGGAAATTTCGACGCAGAGAGCAGACAGGAGAATCTTGGATCGGATCGGCTGAGGTTTAGGGCATGTCAAGCAAAGCAGTGCAGATTATGAAACTGCAGATTGTCTTTCTGGAGTCGATTAGGGTTGTGCGATGCTATCAACAACACGACAGTTTGCCTTCGTGTTGAGAGTTTAGTTAGTTTGTGTGCTGCCACTCCAAGAAGCTTATACATTCGCAGACGCCTCCTTGATTCTTTAAGGATATGCGACGAGTTTCTTGGAAAGGTCGCCGAGAAGCTCCCTTCAGTTCAGGTGTCTTGGAGCAATCCTTTTGCCTCCAAGCCCAGCACCGCTTTAGGGAGCACCGTATATGCTTGCCCCAGACAGCCGTGAGACAGCTGAGGTCGTGGCCCGACACGAGGCGCTGAAAGTTATGAACCGCCGCTGGGAAGCATGTGGGAGTTTCCGAAAGGAAGGGGTACCTTCCTTTGGGATCCTTATAAGGATCCTACTATTTAGGGTACGATAAATTAGGCTACCCTATTTTCGGAAACCCCCATGTGGGAACTGTCAGATCAAAAGGGCTCCGAAACAGAGACGGGGAACTCCTTCCGTCGGTTTAGGGTTTAGGGTTTAGGGTTTTCTTCTTTTGAGTACTATGCACATCGACTTTTTTCCACGATGTCGCCGAGGGCCACACGTGAAGATGCCATGCAGTGTCTGGGGTTATGAGCCCCCAAACACTGCAAACACTGGAAATCCAAGAAAAGATAGATATACAACAAAAAGAGCAGCAGAAAACCAAACAATAAACATAACAGGTGGCCGTGCGGGGTACTTTGTTTGCAGTTATATGTCTGGTGTGTTGTTTGTGTGTTTGTTTGCTGTGTTGTGTTCTGCTGTTTTTAGTTTTGCTGTGTTAGTGTTGTTTCTTTTTCCCGAAAGCTCTGCCAAGGGTTATTTGGAAAAGCTTTTATTTGCTTGCACGACACTCGTATACAATGTGTCGACATACATAACATGTGGACATACATAACTTACACCACAGACTTACCTGCTTATACTACTTATGCACTTGCCGGGACATACATAACTTACACTACTTACACTACGCACTTGCCTGCTTACAGCAGCCTAATCAAACAAGTTCCTAGTATTTCAATGGCAGCCTTATGTTAATAGCAGCCGAATTAAATTCCTAGCGCTCTATTTAAATTTAATCTATTCTGTTAGCCCGGGGTAGGTTTGGCGCACCTTGGCGGCGCGATGAACCTTCTGCAGGGATCCTGCGTGTCGAGGTGCTGACGCTGTGGTGCGCTTTTCCTAGGGAATACCCAAACAACAAAAACAACATGTTTTGGGAAGCTGCACGGCCAGACTCCAACATTTTTGCGGTTTTCCTTAGGACAAAGCTTGTTTTCGGTGCAAAAACCAGTTTTTCCCAAAGACAAATTGGTTTTGGGCAACTATTAAAGAGATGGTTTTGGTTCGAAAAACCAATTTCTTCCTAAGAAAAAGTTGGTGTGGTGCTGAAAACCCAATCTTTTCCTAGGAAAAAGATGGCTTTGGGCAAGAAAACCAACGTTTTCCTAGGGAAAACCAAAAACACAACGTTTTTGGAGTCTGGCCGTGTAGTTTTCCAAAACGTGTTTTTTTGTTTTCCCCCCTACGAAAAGTTGGTTTTGCGTTCCAAAACCATTTGTTTCCTAGGAAAAGATTGGTTTTTCGGCCCAAAACCAGTTTTTTCCTAGGGAAATTTGGTATTTCACTCCAAGACCAAATTTCCACGAGCGAAGAGTGTGTGTTTCATTTGCTGCTTGCGCGCGTTACGAGTTAGTGTTCATAATTGGGATTCGATTCCGCTCAGCCCGAGATGATCATATGCTACAATGAGATATACAATATGATGAGGTGAACAAACAAATCCTGGTGTCATCCCGAAAATCCGGGGGCTATCATTTGGGCAACGCCAGAGCGAACACTGCAAAAATCGTGGCTCTAAAGGGGTATCGGTTTGAGAAAAAGTTCCTTGTTGGGCAAGTCTTTAGCGTACCTGTATTCATATTATTGGTAAATAGTATGAGGGATGCTATGACTTTGAACTTCGGGGATTTGAATGCTCGTTCTAGCGATCCCACAGCTACATCTGGATTAGTTAGACTGTTGATGAGGCCAATAGTCGGGGTTTCTCTTGAAGCCATTATGTGGGTTGCTGTTGAAGAAAGTGTCCGGTACGTGCGAAGGTTACCAATGCGAACAGCCTATGGGTAGTGTTAAGTTTGCGATTAAGGTCCATCTTGTGGTCATATCCAATATCAGGGCTGCCAAGTCGACTACAATATCCTTACTATCGGGGGGCCAATCAGGCTGAGGAATGTTGTTACATCAACCTTCAGGTCGATAGGGGCGGTTAAAAAGGAATGTATGATGGGGTTCAGTCGACATAGCATTTTAATCCATATGAACCAAGACGTGAATCTATAAGGGTTCTCTTTGTGGTGAACATGCAATAGAAGACTACTGTCACCATTAGGGCCAAGGTAAGGTCTAATGGCAGGGTTAGTGTTAGGGATAGTGTTGTTTAGGAATACGAGTCAGTCAAGGGCCACGGTCATTGATACGTTTTGCTGGGGCTTTGATCTGAGACTACAGTGAAGGCTATCTTGACAGAATGACTTTCATCGTTGGAGAAATCATCTCTCGGAGTATCTGCGTGAAGCGTCGCAAGAATGCAGAATGAAGGCTTTTGCCGGTTACATATCCGCGGAACTTCGAAACCTAACGTTAAACACTCGGATCATACACCAGAAGCTTAAACGTAGGAGGATTGGTGGTGCTATCGCGGCACCTCGTGGTAGTTCTTACTCTTGGGGGGTGTTAGCATAATGTATATATATATATATATACACATACACACATACACACGCGATTCATGTAAACCATGTCAAACCTACCCCGCGCCACGAAGCTCGTAGAACTCGTCACGCAAAAAAAACGCTGCCAAATACACGTGCCATGCAACCGTTGCTCTGCTTGCTTTCGGGAGAATCGGTATCTAGTTGTTTTATGTTGTGTTTTTTTTTTTTTTTACGTTCTTTTGGTAAACTTAAAAGCGAATACAACCCAAAACGAGCCTCTGGGGCGGGTTTTTGTTTGTTTAGTTGTCGTTGATTTGTTGTTCAAGTTCGCTCCTGCCCTGATTTACGTGCCCATATCTTATGTGTATGTTTATTGTGTTGTGTCTAGTTCAAAAATCTCTTTGCTTGCATGATGCGCTTTCATGGGTCTGGGACAGGTAAGAGATGACATGTGTTTTCTTGTCGCGGGGCTGCCAGGTCCATGAGCACATGTGCACATGTATAAGGCAGCAGTTATCTGCTTGTAGTACATTTGACATGTGACTGGAAGCATGCATTTGATCTATACCCATGTATGTCACCCTAATCAGTCGGCAAAACTTCAACACAAAATCTTGCAAGCCCAAATCCTTAAACCTTGAGATCCAATTCTGGAGAGGCAGCCTGCGCCACTGTCCAGACCTTGCTTTGGGCCAGAGTTCTGGTCTGCGACAGGCTGCATCACAGACCAAGGCACTCTGGAAAACAATCTGGTTGGCTGTGCAGTTTGTGATCTTCTGAGTGTTGGACTTAAATGTTTTGGGATGGTTATCCCCCCCCGCCTAAACCTTAAACCGTTTGGGGCAGAGGTCCGGAGCAGGAGCGCAAGATAGAGAATGACAGAGCATCGAGACAGCCGAGGGTTCACTTGCGTGCGTGATAAGGAGTTCGTGGGCCTTTTGCATATCTGAATACAATGCCGAGTACCTCTTCGATGGTAACAGGTTGTAAAGTTCCCCAAGCTTCCGTCCTAACCACAGCTAACTCTTGAACCCTGCATCTTAAAGCTCATTTTTGTATTTTACCCTTATAAACCCAAACCCCGAAGGAAACCTTATAGCAACCCGTTAATTCGCTCTAAGCCCCTGTAGTTCGGCCGACATAGGCAGCCTTCTGCGCGGGTCTCATGGAGCTACGCAGCGGAGACCTCTTCGGCCATGCTGACTACAGTTTCACGTCTATCTATCTATCTATCTATCTATATATATATATATATATATATTTATTTTTATATTTATATTTATATTTATACACGTAATATAGTACCCTAAACCCTAGACACCCTAATGCCTTCGGTGGGGACTTGCAGACCACTTAGTTTCACAAACGTGGTCCCGACTTCTTATATATATATATATACAAGAGAGAGAGAGCTTCCAGGGGGTTTAGGAGATTACTAGTGTTCTTCGCGTTTCGGAGCCGTATAGTTTTCGGAGAGTGTATAACAGGCTCCTACAGCACCTTTAGTGTGCGCTGCATCCAACAGATCCGCTAAGCTTGAAACCCTCTCTCTATACTGGAGTCTCTGTACTTCTATACGATGGTTGTGTAGGGGCATATGTTAGGCCCCAAACACGGCAAAACGACGAAGCTACTTATGCTTGCGCTTGAGCCAGCCTATGACGCGGCAGTGCGGTTTGACGTGCTTGAACTGAAATTTTGTTGGCATGCCTTCTTCCCTTCCCCAGCCCGTGCAGCTCAGCAAATTGTCCAAATAACGAACCAGTTGGTCGGTTCGTCAACTGGACTACATGAATCAGCATGGGACTTAGTGACTTGGTTTAGTCACGTATAACCCCAATGAAGGTACTTTAGCCTTACATACTATAAGTCCCATAATCCTCCACGTTGACGTGAGCCCTCGAGTAGAGGCGCAGGACATGTGCTTGTTCTGATAAATCCCCTTGGCCAGGCGACGATCAGTGTCTCAGATTCCGACGGAGACTTGCTGAGCGTTTTGCAGCTGCAGTTCATATTCATATTTATATTGAGATGCAATGGTTTCTGGCTGTTGCAGGGGTCGAATGTCAGAAACTCGCATATCACACGTGGTGCGAGGTGTGGACACCTACAACGTCTTCACGCAGCCGCTCGGCTTCAATCTGTCCACAGCTTCCCAGCCACAACCAATCATTTCGAATTAGAGCTCCATGCACAACAGCGCGGGAAGTGATGCTGGGTTTGCACCGCGGTCTCCAACACAAAACTTAAAACCCACAACAGGAGACAGAGGCATGACGTAAATGATGGGGATATCTCACTCCGTATATATATATATATATGTATTCAATGTAAACATACCATCGCATACGCCAAAACCCCCCAGTCATCAACGCCCGCACAGAGCGAGGTCCATAGAGAGTCCAGTCTGAGCTGAAGCCGAGGCTTCAGTGTGAGGTGAACGCAATCCTTGCTGCCTTACCAGCCAGAAGCTGAACAAAAAAAACAGCTGGCCGATGGTTTAGGGTTGGAATGCAGGGCCCATCGAGGGTTTTGGGGTCGCCACACAGATCCTATATCCGGACTCCGGACGGAGAGCCTTATAATTGCAGTTCAGGCCTTTGTCATATTCCTTAAGCCGCAAGTCTTATACCCGAAAGTTTGAACCCTAATGCGTAAAACCCTAGGCCCTAGATCCTGAGCCATAGGGAGTTCCCCTGTCGCCGCTAAGAGCTTGTTTCGATGCGGTTGCGCAGAGACTTCAATTAAAGCCGGTTTTCTACGGGTCTTGTAACCTGACAATGGTGCTGTAGGCTTTTGCACGACACGTGCTGAGGTTTAAGATTTAACGGGCCTAACTCAGAAGAACAGAAGAAGATGTAGAATTTTGAGTCTTGCGGTGTAGATGATTCAGGGTTGATATCGTTGAGGCTCTGAAAGAGTACATTTGCTTAAGTTATTTTTGGACTTAAAGAATGGCCAGATTCCCGAGCTTCTGCGGATTCATTGGAGAGGAGGTTGGCGATTTGTATTTCCACTCTTTAAATAATGTGGGCATCAAAGATGATGCCTTCGTTTCTGATAAATGCAGATCTATGCGACATCTACATGGGCGTTTCTTAGTCGTAGTCAACCGGGTTTCAACTTTGAGCAAGCGATGGAGCCGAGGAGGTATGAACAACTCTCAGATCCGTCAACAAGGGCCGATAACATGTTAAGAATACCCACAACATTGCGAGTGTTGCGACACAAAGATACCTTGACAATTGCAGCGATACAAAAAGCAAAGCACACCTGCGAACTACACACTGCCAAAATACCAAAAAGTAAGGCAAACCTCAGAAACTCAGGCAAGGCAGGAACCCCGGCACGGCAAACTGGAGAGTCAACAACTAGATTAGAAACACATCTATACAGAAGAAGCACAACACATAGAAATTCAAAGCACTTGCAGAACATATATATATATATATATGTATAAGATTGAAAAAAGCTCGAGTAAATATAAGGTACTATACTCGAAAGCTAATGATAGTCTGATCTACAAGAAAAAGACACCGGTCCCTGTTTGCGAATCTGTTTGCCAAGCGCACGACTATCCGAACAATCATGAAGACCTCCTTCAGTAAAGCAGCCATAAGGCCTCTGTCGCCCGCCCTGAACCTCCAGGATTTGCGCTAGATTCCTCGTATCCGTTGCAAACCAACTGGAAGGAGCCATGGAACAAATCGGAATGATTTTGGCTATTAAATAATTTTTCAAAATCCAAAAGACCCCTTCTGAAGGAAACCCTACATTTCTGTGCAACCAAAATGCAGCAGGCCATGCAAAATACTTACGAACCTCCATGAGATGCCGCAACAAACACTGTGACCCGACAGAGAGCCGCCTCCCAGTAGTTGTCTAGACAAAGTCTCATTGCTTGATTCCAGCTATGGAAGCTATATCCGTCAAACCATCTCGGAAGTCATATAAACGCCTGGAGTCCTCCGGCTGTTTTTGGGTGCATCCCCGGTGCCGTCTGTGACTGCTGTGAGCAAGAAGTAAACGTCTACATGGCTGACATGTGGTCTGGGAATTATACGTGCTGCGTGGATAACCTGCATCGCAGGCGAAGCGGGTCACTTCCATCCCACTCCCTCCCTGCTGCTGCAGCGGCAACTTGGAAGCCTGGTAAAGGAGGGATCGGTGTAGGGGGTCCCGAGCTCCTGAGCATGGTTTGCAGAGGGTCTCAGTTTCATGGGACTGTGCGCACTTGTTGACATTCTGAGCTGGAGAGTTTATCATCGCCAGGCATCTTTCAATCGAAGTGTAAGCCCGACTGCAACAAAACGGACCGCTAGCCGCCTTGCTGCCGGACGCTCATAAGCAGCCAGTGCCTCTGTAACGCTGAGCCCTCCTGACTCTTAAAAAACAACAACAACCTAGACATTAGCTGAAGCTTGAGGCTACATCGGTAGTTCTCAACATTGGGGTCCCTTTCAGGGTCCTTTTTTGTATAAGGGCGCCGTATTGAAAACTGGGGGACCAAGAAAGGGACCCTAATGTAGAGAACTACTCGTATAGAACACTTATGGTACCTTTATAGAAACCCTTATAGATCCCTTTAAGGACTCCCTAAAAGGGACCCTAACCCATCTATGATATCAGAGCCTAGAGATGCCTCTTAGGCATCCTGGGGCCAATGGGTGCACCTCGGCCGCAGGGGCTGCATCCCTCCTTCTGACGAACCTCTGAGTACTTTCCCGGGCTTTAGGGATTTTTTTTAGGGGGCTTTATTTCATGCAGGATGTCAAGGTGTAGGGGGTTTTAGGGTCTAGCGTTTTAGGGTTTTAGTTTCAGCACCTCACGTTCCAATCATGTTTAGCATCACGTGGGACCATGCGTCCTGCAGCCAGGCTTGACGTTTCGAATGCCTGCGTGAGAGAGAGAGTGTGTGTGCGTGTGTGTGTTAGGGCTGTTATAGGGTGCAGGGTTGACGGCTTGGGCTGAAGGGTGCAGGATTTAGAGTTCTGTTGCCGGAATGCTTTGGTTCAAGACTGAGACACGAAGACACAAGCTAATGCCTGCCTTCTACCAGGCACATCCACAGGTTGCACCTTCAGAACCTCCTCCAAAGCAGCGAAATATCCAATCAAACATCCAGATTTATCAGGTTCCATTAACAAATCCCAAAATTACTCAACCGAAGCTCTGAAGCAGCTGTGCTTGGGTAGGTGTCACCTGGGCAGACACTCGGCTGCACGCCGAGGGTTCATTGGGTTGCTATCCAGTCTGGCCTGTTCAGGACCCTAAACCCTAAACCCTAAACCCTAAACCGATCGAGCCGTCAGGGTTTAAGGACGAGTATGGCTAGGCTCCTCGAGGCGAGGTTCTAGAAATGCTGCAGCTTGAGTCTGGCATCCGCTGATCTCTCCGTTGTTGGCTATAGTTATACCTATGACGGCTTTGGCTGTACCTGTTATCCCTGTCATCCCGTTTATGCGTATGCTCTCTGGGACTATTGAACAACTGGAACTTATAGCGCTTCTGAAATGCCCTACTTTCCAAGCCCCCTCAGTCCCCACCAAGCTAGCATGCTTGAGTCAAGATCTGGGGACTGTCAGAAGCGTCTGAGGCACGGAGAGTCAAGTGGCAGATGTTTGATGGCCCCGGTGTATAGACTCTAGGGTCGATCCCTTGTGCAGTTGAACCCTGTAGCCCTAAACCCTAAACCATACCCAGAGAACCCAATACACCTCAATTAAGGAACATGCCCTAAATTTTGGGGGGCCTTATTATCATGGTTTAAGGTATATTCCTCAATTAAGGTGTATTGGGTTCTCTGGGTATCGAACGGTTTGCTTTCCGGCCCTTGTCGGCCCCCAGACGGACGAGGAGATAAGGTTCAATCGAAGCTGGTGGTGAGTTAATCCCTTCCTGCTTTTGTTAAACACCCCCCCTAATAGTAGAAACACATTGGACCCAATCCTCCCGAAATCATCCCTGCATGCCCTTTAAAACTTGTTCTGAACTAGGGGGAGGGTTTCGAGAGCAGGAGCAAGAGCAAAAGCGGGAGCATCAGCAAGAGCAGAGGCAAGAGCAAAGCAAAAGCAAGAGTGGGAGTAACAGGAGCAAAAGCGGGGAGCAACAGCAGGAGCAGGGGCAAGAAGCGTAGCAGAAGCAGGAGCAAAAGCCACCTCGGGAGCAAGAGCACGTCCCTTCAAAAGTGGCAATAGAGATAAAGATACCCCCTAATGATAAGAACACTTTCCGAGACTCTATTGGGGGGCCCCCCCCGTTTAATATTCGGGGGTCAAGATAAAGCAGCCACTGAAGGGTCCAGCATTCACTTCCGAAGAAGGGGCCAGAAGGATCCCTCACCAATTCTCGTTTATCCGTCGGAGAGTGACATGCCTAGGCGAGTTGAGATCTTACCAGAGGATGAAGGCATCGTCATGGTTGGGGAGGGTCTTGCAGTTGGGGTCTTTCTCAACTTCCCGGCGCTGTTGACAGCCTGCTGTAAGCAGGTTCACCTTGATGTAGATGCCTACCGATACTTTTCCTTAGGGTTTCCTGTTGTAGCGTTTAGGGTTCAGGGTTTAGGGTTTTCTAGTTCAGGTGGGGTGCAACAACAACATGCATGATTACTGCACTGGCAGCTGTAAACTCTGCAGCCTAAAGCAGAACGACCCTCTCGCCGCTTGCTCTCCTTGGGATTCCCCAGCGTTTAGGGGTTTGGGTTTAGGGTTCAGGGGTTGGGGCAGAAAGAAGGCCGAACCTTGAGTTTTTAGGGTTTAGGGTTTAGGGTTTAGGGGTTTAGGGTTTAGGGTTCAACAAGGATCCAGGCTGTGTTTTTCTCTAAGCACTCCCATGACCACTAACTAGTCCAGTTCGAGCTACTACATCCGTCATAGATGCTTTGTGTTTTGAGTTGTAGCACGACTGTAGTGCCTGCTCTTACTCGGCGCTTGCTGAGCCCCTGTCCCAGATACCTCCCCTCCTCCGACAGCAGATGGATAGCCCGCAACCCTAAGCCCCTTAACACCCCCCAGAACCTCAAGCCCCTAAGGGGCCAAACTTATCTGAGCCCTAACATGGCAATGTGCCAGGACTCTCCACAGTCTTGGGCATCATCGAAGGCCCGAGCTGCAAAGCAGGTCTTAAGAGCAGAACAGTCTTGTAGCCTGACTTTGGGACTGGAACTTCGGGAATCAAGGCTTTCGACACTCACAACTCACACCAGGCAAGGGTTATGGTTGCAGGGTAGTTGTGTTTAATTGTGGGGCTTATGACTATGACTCAACAGTATGGCTTATTATGGACGTGTTACTAGTTGATTGCTTGCTGAAAAAGATTCTGAAGTCTCAGTGGTAAAAAGTTACTTACCACATCCTGAGCAACAAAAAGTCATAAACGGAGAGTTGTGTACCATGTGGACCCACGCAAATCATGTGGTCTGAGCCACTACCGATTTGACAGCTTCAGGATAAACAGCAGCACCACTACCAAAGCTAACAAATAACTGCAACATCATGGCCTAAAACTTGAAATGCCGACCGCTTTAGTGATCCCACATGTGGCTAACCCTGGGAGACGACAGACCCTTATGGTATCGTATGGTATGGTATGGTATGGTACCGGTTTGGCATGGTTTGGTACGGTATGGTGTGGTGTTGTATGGTGTATAGTACGGTGTATGTATGCATGTATGCATGCGTGTGCGTAGGTATGTAGGTAGGCAGGAAGGTAGGTAGGTAGGTAGGTAGGTAGGTAAGCAGGTAGGTGAGCAGGTAAGTATGTACTCGCCTGCTTGTCGAGTGCGAGTGCCAAAATGTATGTATTCAAGCAATGCGTTGAACCGGAATGCAATGACCCCCAAGCCTTCAAAACAAAAACACAACACAATCAACACACAAAAACATCTTGCAATCAGTTCGTCTCAGCTTGTACCACAACGTCATCTCTCGCAGCCTGCCTAAAGCCAAGGCCTAGCCCCCATGCAACGATCCGTACAACATCCGTAGAACGACCTGGAACTAGGCGCCCGCCGCTGTGAAGTTCAAAGAGTTCCCGGTCAAGTTCATGGAAGACTCGACCCGCTTCAACCCCCCATGTAACACGGTGACTGTATAAGCAATCGACATACGGATGCGCAACTACATCGGCCTCAGTACGAGTTCAAAAAGTAGCAGTACGAGTTCAAAAAGTAGGGTGCATAGTCGCAGACACACATTCACGCATCAAACGTGTACATGTGGCTTATTTATTGAATTACTTGCTTCTGGGTTGTTCCTTGCTTGTTTGTTTCTCACAGAGGTATACACGTGTATTATGCGTGTGTGTATGTATATACCTGTAGCCGTAGACTTACATGCAATTGTTACGTTCACGTATGATGTGCCGGCTCAAGCAGCCACACTTGTCAGAGCGTTTCGCTGTGCCAGCGGATTGAACTAGTTAGGCAAGTTGATGTTTATACTAATACTAGTGAAGCTATTGTCATTGTTCGGGCAGTCATTACCTGAAGGAGTTCTGCTTCCAGATGTTAAGAAGGCCTCTGCGGTTTACGCCCAAGCAGAGCGCGAGCCCAAGAAGGCAAATACGTCTGTGGGCTTATCTATAGGAATCCCTCTGCTGTGTCTGACGCCATGACCACGCGGAACAGGAGCAAAGAGGCAGGACCTTGCAGAATGCACAGTGCATGGAGCCAGCATCCACGAACTCTGTGAGTGTGTGTGCATGTGTGTTGGCCTGTGGGTTCCCTCGCTGTTGCGGCTGCACCTTCTACTTGAGTCGAACTAAGCCATGCGACCTCATCCCTCCGGCGCTTGCTCCCCGTTGTACACCCTGAAGCCCTGAACCCTGAACCCCAAACACTAAAACCAGAAACCTTAAGCCCTGGCAGGTCGTCTTCGTCGAGCCAGCTCAAGCTAGCGATTTGTGGGCCTCGGCGAGTTGTTCACTTACAGGGAGTGCCTAGTTTCCTTTGCGTTGTGGTTGAAATTATACGGATATTATAACATAGCTCAATACCCTGTTCAAAGTTATCAAGGCACTTAAATTCTTGGCTTTCTGGTTATGTAGCTGCAGGATGTGGGGTCTGAGGGTTCCGTTCTGGCGATCAGCTATTTGACAACAGGAGTAACAGTGAGGGTGTAGCTTGTGAGATTCGGTGTCGCAAGAACTTCTATAATAGAGTGTTGGCAGCCGTGCTTGGGGAAAGTGGAAGAGGCATGTTTACCCTGCTAGTACGCCAACGTATACAGGCGCTGTGAGTGCGGGCTATGGAGGTCAATGCTGCGGGTCTAGCAACCCTTGGGGACCAAATGACCCTTATAAGTAGGGGCCCTATACCCTTATACTATGAATCCCTATATGGTATATGAACCTGAAACCCTTTTAGGGTTCATGTCGTCCTTAGGGACAGCATGATGAGATGCCAGGGCTGCATGTTGTTGACAAGGCAGGCTGGCAAGTTGTGGCCGCTGCAACTTTCGTAGTACCATGCTCCAACGCGAAGCGCGAGTACGGCGTTAGGCCTTTAGGCTAACCCTAGGCTTCCAAGGACCTTATAGTTAGGGCCCTAGACCCCTTAAGGACCCAATAATAAGGTCCCTGGAAGCCTAGGGTAACACCGCTTGATGCAAAGGTGTGGTTTTGTACTGAAGTACGGCGCCGAATACGTAAGAACAGGCAGTATGAAATTCGGACGGGCCTGCTGCTCTCCAGGCCCGTGATAACAGTAATAGCAATTTATACTATTAATGATATTCATAGCCATGGTCATACTAATTCTTAACATAGTAGTAGTCATAATTACCAGTACCCCTGTGGCGGTTCCCCAGCTTCTGTCTGCCAGGGCGGATTTCGGTCCGCATCTTCGACATCTGGAAGCTCTTCTCCTTCAGAGGCCTCGACTAAGCCCTTCAGTTTGGGCTAATAGTGCCCCTAGCTGCTGCAACACGCACATACACACATATACATACATGCATGCATGCATGCATGCATGCATGCATGCATACATACACATACATACGTACATAAATACAGACCACAGACAGACAGACAGACAGACAGACAGACAGACAGACAGACAGACAGACAGACAGACAGACAGACAGACAGACAGACAGACAGACAGACAGAGTCTGTCTGTCCGTCCGTCCGTCTGTCTGTCCGTATTTATGTGCGTATGTATGTGTATGTATGTATGTATGTACGTATGTATGTATGTATGTATGTATGCATGATATGCAGGTAGTGCATGTAATGCATGTAAATGCATGGGTGTATGTATGTCAGGAAGTATGTTTTTTCTTTATGTATGTATGTACGTATGTATGGAAGCGTATATGCTCCAACCATTTCTCCCCTGTCGCCTTTCTATTACCCTCGCCGGCACCTGGAACATGATCGAAGAAACATTCGAACCACTCGCATGAACACTCTGTGGCAGCAGATCAGGCCATGATGGCCAGATACATCGCACTGCATGTCTTTGAAACGCGCTGCGAGGCCTGACACCCACAACGCTAATGGCAGTGTCAGTCGCAGCCTGCGCATTCCGCTAGCGTCCCTCGCGCACTGACCGGCGGCAGTTAGAGTCTCCGGACGAGTTGCATGGAGTGTTATACAAGCGCCGTAGCTTCCAGACATTGCGGGTGCACGATCGACCCCAGACGGCTCAGTCGCTATCGCATTATCATCCTGGCTTCGCGCAGTTTCCCGTTGCCGCGAGGCGGAGATAATTTGTCATGGTATTCCTGCTCCGGGTCTTGCGGCAGCTGCAATCCTGTTCGCATTTGGCTGTCAGCAAGCAGCTGTCGCCTGGCCTTACCCTGCTGGAGTTCCGACCGACGTTTTTGCCACCCTGCTGCTCGTAGTCGCAGCTCCATCTCCTGCAAATCTTGTGTTTGTGAGACGGGTTCGGCCCGCCTCTCATGGCCCATGGTCGGGGCTGGCAACTACCGTGACAGGCTGAAACAGGATTGTCGCAAAAACAGTCGCCGCCGGAGCAAAATGCCGCGTGGCTCTTTGAGCCGTAGACTGCTGTATGGCTCACAGCAAGCGCCAACGCGACAAGCCAGCGCCAGCTACCACGGACGAAGCACCAGGGAGCGGCTCCAGTGAAATGAGGATCTACTGATTCTATTGTGTCAGCAGTCTGTTCTATACCACTGTCAATTCATGGCTTTCGGTTGCGGGTCCGTTTGACCCTGGCATAGTGCGTCGGTTTGTTGTTTGAGGTGCTTGTGTGTCAGTTTGGTACCGGCTGGTACCCTCTGGATACCACTACGATTCTCTGCATGCAGCCAGGCCAGGCACGATAGTATAGACAGAAGCCGAAACTTAGGGCCTAAACGGTTACCGACACTGTTCCAAAGGGCTCCTAATTATAGAGAATATGTGCGAAACCTGCGCCGCACCGACTGGCATGGGAGGATGGACTTCCAGGATGAGATGCTGAAGCAAATCCTGACACTCGGCTGCTGGTATCGTCAAAAGAACAAGAGCCTTGAAGTCTTAACATGCTGCCATGTCATACAACATTCAAAACCTAATGACAATAATAGTTTCTACGAGGGATACAACATTCAAAACCTAATGACAATAAGAGTTTCTACGAGGGTTGCTATGAGGGCTCCTCTCGATTTTGGTGAGTCCTCGTCGTGTTGCTGAATTCGGTTAGGATCGGGCGTTCACGTTTTCCGGCTGTCTGGAGAATGAGTGATCTACCCCAACAAAGCCTCTGCCGAATCGATGACTGCGAAAGAGGGCTCGTCGCTGGTTGAAGACCGCATAGAGCCTTAGGGACCAAATGACCCTTATAAGTAGGGGCCCTATACCCGTATACTATGAATCCCTATATGGTATATGAACCTGAAACCCTTTTAGGCTTCATTTCGTCCTTAGGGAGAAGGCCATGTATTGAACTCAAAGCCAGCAGTTGCAGGAGAGAGGTTCCGCATAAGAGAGATCTGCTCCCGGCTTCGCCCATTGCAGAGATCTACGACAGCGCAGCCTGGTCTGGGCAGCGGGAAGTGACATAGTGGCCTTATAATTAATAATGTGTTTGAATAAAACCATGAGGCAAAATACGGTACATAAATGAGCGCACACACACACATACACATATACATATATTATATGAGTTATATGTATAAGGACTAAGGGATGCACCGACAAACTACCTCCGACGCCTATGACTGGTTACCAAAAAGACTGTTCCGAAAAGAAGGCTTGGTCTTGAGAATGTGCTCTCGGTTTCTTCCGTGTGTGACGTTATGGATGCGCAACATCATCTGTAACATCACAGCTAGTATCAGCATCATCATCATCATACTGACTTTGGAAGTAGGATGAAGAGTTTCGCTTTCAAGGCTTGGCTGCTTGGCAACCCGACAGCGTGCATCACGTACCCCTGTCCTTCCCGCCTGCCGATTCCACACATTGACCGAAGACTGACAAGGCAACCTCTGAAGTTTACGACGGGACGATTTCTGCCGGTTTCATGCGACGTGGGGCCGCGCCGGCTCCCATGGCTGCATCGGCTGTCGACAGGACCGGCTCTGGCTCTGCCGGTCTCATGCGCCGTGCGGCCACGCCGGCTCCCATCAGTGCATCGTCTTAACTGGGTGGCTGCAGTATGTTGGCACAAGTCCTCCTGAGAGCCCGGGGGTTAGGTTCTTGGAAGATAAGTTTGAGAGGTCAGGGGACCCCAATTCTGAGGCCCGGTGTACAACAACAGTCAGAGGCATAGCAAGAAGGAAAACGTTGTTCTTCTCGTCCCGGTGATGGTATGGTGGTTCTGGTGGCGGCGGTGGCGATAGTGGCGGTGGTGGGAGTAGTCGTAGTGGTCGAGGTAGTGGTGGTGGGGGTGGCGGTGTTGGTGGTGTCGGTAGTGCTGGTGGTCGTGGGTAGTCCCAGTGCCAGTGCCGGTAGCAATGGCCGCAGCCACGGCAGCAGTAGCAGCTGTAGTAGTAGTAGTGGTTGTAGTGGCAGTGGTAGTGGTAGTGGTAGAAGTAGTAGTAGTAGTAGTAGTAGTAGCAGCAGCAGTAGTAGTAGTAATAGTAGTAGCAGTAGTAGTAGTAGTAGTAGTAGTAGTAGTAGTAAAGTAGTAGCAGTAGCGCATGCAAGAAGAAGAGAGGAAAGAAGCACAGGTAGCGGCTGATTTTGAGAAGGACGACTTGAACCCGCAGCAACTACAGCTACGTAATCACAAGTGCGGGCGTGAAGACATCGTTGATGAGCAGGAGGCTGCTATGTTACAGGCTGTTTTGTTACTTGTTTGGCATCCACATCTGACCAAAATCAAAATTTGAACATAGTGCTGGTTTACCGTATAGTACCTTACAGCTATTGTGTATGCCAAGCCGCACACCGCTCCATCGCAAGGCATTGAGGACTCCGCATTTTCCCCATCTCCTTCGTTGCAGGAGGAGGCCGTGAGCACCAGGGGTATGTAAGGCGTCAGGGTCAGTTGTTCGGGAGTTGGGGAAGTCGATAGAAAAGATGCAACATCTCGGATGCGTTCCAGTCAGAAGCCCACGAAGAAGGAGTTCGGAATCTGTGCATGTGTGCCCTCTTGTATATTCATGCCTCATGCTTTGGAAACTTTATATTCTGTGTGTTGGAGTGATGGCCTCATGCGACCTGACATTGGGCCTGGCCAGACTCTCCATCAAGACATCCAAACGTAGGGCTTTTCTGAGTTCCGCTCACCAGACCCACCAGACTTCAGAAGTTCTGTAGCGCAAAGCAGGTTGAGCCTTCGCTGTGCCCCATGATGAGAGTCAGGATGGCCAGGACGAAGCGAACAACAAAGCCGCGAAATCCTCGAGAATGCGCCTGCAGACGTACTCGACAGAGGACAGCATGATTCTGGCGGGAAGTATTGCGACAGCGCTGCCAACCGTTCGAAGTGCCACCGGATATACTCACTGGAGCAGGAAGGCAGGGAGCAACGCCAGTAAGCCGCCAGAGGCTGTGCTTTGTAATTTATACCCTTTAGAGTTTAGGGACTTTAGGGTTCGAGAGCAGTTGCAACACCGATCCTCGGCAGTCTGCTTTCATTCCGTCTGCAGGGGTCGAGACTTTAGCACACTGAGGTGTAGTACCTACAAACTAGCGCAAAACACGCACACTAGCGTAAAAGTACTTGTGCAGGTGCAGAGTTTACATCAGCAAGGCTGAGAATGACCACTACAGCGATAAGATCTTCGACAGTTACTGTCGTCCTAGTAGGAGTTCAACCATCTGTAGACACGGCAACACGATTTTCATCACAAGTCTTGGGACGAAGGGATCGGACAAGTTCGGTGGACTTCCCTGACAACCTCTACTTCACTGCTGGGGAACGGGGCTACAGCAGTGAGTGAGTAATCTATAGAGGCCTGAATAATATGAGTAGTTGCTAATCATCCTGTTAATTCCGATGAGCCGAACATCTCTATGTTTGTATAAACATTGTATACATATATATATATATAATCATACAGAAGAGGTTGTGTATGTGTATAGACACACGCACGCACACACACTTTACACTGTCACGTATCCCCAGTCTGCCTGCCCCTGTGCTTGTGTGTCTGCCACAAAAGCGCGAGGATCTGGAGAAGAAGCAGGAAGCCGAGCCCGTGATGGGTTCAGAGTTTATGGGGTTAATTACCCATAGGCCCCATAGTAGTTCCTTTTTGGAGTTACCTTATTGGAGTCTATATATGAACCCCAAAAAAAACTACTTGAGGGCCTATGAGTCATTATAAATGTGTGCTAAAGGGGATCGGATTGCTATGAATTATCAATGCTAGCCTTGCGAAAGCTGCCTGTTCCAATTTCAGTGCATCTCTGGATGCATTGGCTACACAAACGCTCGTGCCGGCGACATACTCGCAGACATTGCAAAGCATTTAGGATGTCTGTACTTACGGGATCTGCAGCATGAGCGTGACATTGTGTTACTCGTGCTTTTTCAGTCAATGAGTTAGCCAGTTATTCTAGTATTTCGTCAGCCAAGCCGCTGCGCGGTTACTTTACTGAAAGAATTCCATCAGTGGGTAAGCAAGTCGGTAGTTACGCAGCCAGGCAAGCAGGTACGCAAGTAGGCAGGCAAGCAGGCAGGCAAGCAGGCAGGCAAGCAGGCACCTAGGCAAGCCACTAGCAGGCAGGGAGGCAGCTAACAAGGTAGGTGCAATCGGCCAGTGTCATTGGCCTACTTCTTAACTTTGGCTTATTTTCGGGCCTCAACCCGCTAAGGAACTGGCGGACACGCACTTTCTCCGGCGCATGTTCACGTCTCACTCTCGCTGCTGGGCTGCATGAACACAGTTTCTTGACCTTCAGCCGTACATGATCGCCTTACTACGTGCTTTTAATTCAGCCCTCGACACAGCATCTTGACAAGCACGTCGCCATCATGCATGGGATAGTCGTTTTGTCACATGAACGACTGATGTTTTACTTAGAAATGAGTGTTTCGGAACTAGAAATTCAGGGTTAGAGAAGTGTACCTATGTTTCGGGCCACGCGTGCCGTTCCTATCTAGCTCTCTGCCAGCATGGCCTGGCAGGGCAAGTTGTCACTACAATACTACCAGTTTGATGTGAGCTTCGAACAGCATATGCCCGTAATTAACAACGATGCTACCAGCAACGAAGACAGATGTCTTGAGCAACTGAGCGATGGAAGGTCAGCATGCCCATGTCGAGAAGATGAGGGCAGGCGGCCGCATCGGAAAGTTGGTGAAGAATCCTGGTCGCTTGCCGTTGATACAGATCAGTTTTCAGCTTTTGAATCTCTTTTGTCATGGACCTCCGGCCATGCACCCGCTGAGCTAATGGTGACAACAGGCAAGTGGCTATTCAGTTTTAGAGGTCATTGGCTGTCGTGGTCGACCAGTGATTGGGCATCGATGGTCTTTCAGGTAGCCACGACCTCATTGTCTCCTGTCTTTGGTGCCTTTCTTTGCTTGTCCCGTTGCAGGCAATCTCATGTAGACCTGGGCTTGAATCTCTACGATTCTGTGAAGCGTCCAATATCGTTAACAGTTTTCTCATTATTGTTCTCAAAGTTCTTGTTATTCATTGCTGTTATTATTACTCTAATTCACATGGTATTGTTGCGCACGGTCGTCCTCATCCTTTGAAGGTGGCCAGGCTCAGGGTTTCGGGCTTCGGGCTTAGGGATCAAGCCCTCTTGCTCGTGACAGATGCAGCCTTCGCTTCTTTGCATGTGATGCGCTGTGTCGACATACTCCACGTTGATGTCGTAGGCATGTCGTGACAGCTCGGCTACCATGATTACCGAGTTGAGAAGAGATACTGTAATCAACTGACTGTTACTTCGAGCTAATAATAGGTTGGTGTTTCTATACCATGTTGGCAGCTACTTCGTTCAAGCTGTGCTCAACACCTTCTTGCTGGTTGCCGGCATGCCCAAGCACAGCTCGATGCGAGCGAACCTTGGGAGGGAACTACTCCTTAAACCTAGAGAGTGCAACGCCCTGGTGGCGCGTATTTCTCGGGAATTTAGGAGTTTTCACTCGAGTTTTTACACTTAGATTTTCAGAAAACAACATAATACGGGCCTGCGTTTTGTGGGTTTCAGAAACATAGG